GGAATCCAAATGCAAATCGCAACATGTATTGTGTAAAACTACAAAAGTCATTATATGACTTAAAGCAGTCGGGACGAATGTGGTACAACCGACTGAGTGAAATTCCTTCAAAAGAAAGGATACCTGACAATGATGATTGCCCATGTGTTTTCATTCAGAAATCTCAAACGGGATTTTGTATTATATCCGTATATGTTGATGATTTAAATATCATTGGCAGTCCAAAGGATATAAAAGAAGCACGCAATCACCTAAAGACAGAATTCGAGATGAAGGATTTGGGTAAGACCAAATATTTCCTAAGCTTACAACTTGAGCACCGTCCTTCTAGAAAATATTGGAGAAAATCAATATGGATAAATCATACCCTATAAAACTCCGATGGTTGTTCGTTCCCTAGAAATAGGGAAAGACCCATTTAGACCATGGGATATTGGGGGAAAAGATATTGGGACCAGAAATCTCATATTTCAGTGTCATTGGCGCACTTATGTATCTTGCAAATTACACCACGCCTGATATCGCATTTGTATTGAACTTACTAGCTAGGCATAGTGCGGACCCAACTCGCCGTCATTGGACGGGAGCGAAGTGTATCCTCAGATACCTTAATGTCACAAAGGATCTTGGTTTATTCTTCAAGAAAAATCATGATCCCAATATGATTGGTTATACTGATGCTGGTTACTTATCTTATCCTCATAACGGAAAATCCCAAACAGGATTTGTATTCCTACATGGAGGTACAGCTATTTCATGGAAGTCTTCTAAGCATACTCTAATAGCGACCTCTACTAATCATTCTAAAATTATTGCTCTATACGAGGCATCACGAGAATGTGTATGGCTTCGCAGAATGATTAACCACATACAACAATCATGTGGTATTGGTTCAATTGAATCACCTACAATTATCTATGAAGATAATTTCGCTTGTGTTACACAGATACAAACAGGTACATAAAGAGCAATATCACTAAGCATATTGTTCCTAAACTGTTTTATCCCCATGAATTACAAGAAAGTGGGGAAATAAACATCTTGTAAATCAAGTCATGTGATAATCTCGCTGACCTATTTACTAAGTCCTTACCAACTTCTATGTTTCAAAATTTGGTACATGGAATTGGTATGCGGCGACTTCGAGATTTGCCAGAATCAGGGGGGAGACATCTCCAAAATGTTGACATGTACCAGCATCATATTATACTCTTTTCTTTCACAAGTTTTCCTCACAAGGTTTCTTGTTAAAGTTTTTAATGAGATAATATTAACATAAGCATGTGTCATATGTTCTATTTTCCCCATCGGGGTTTTTGTGGGAAATATCAAAGACACATATTGCCCTCACAACTCATCCATGGTTTTTCCCTGAAAAAGTTTTTCATGTGAGTTATCCTAGAGACAATACCAATAATATATCATCAAATTTTCTCCTAATTTTTCCACTAGGTTTTTATAGAAGTTTTAGTGGCATATCACCTTATATTGCTCCTCATATTTTTTCATGAAAAGGTTTTTAGGGGAGTTATCTATATGTCGTATCTCCAATATTTTTCCTCATTGAGGTTTTTAATGGGTTACCAATGACATAGTGGTTTATTTAAATCACACAGACATGTTATTTTCTTCTTATTTCCTAAAATGTTTAAAGGAGTTTTATAGCATATCTATACTGTAAGGAAAATGGACCCTAGGCCCATTTACTTTGGATTTTGGTATTTGATGACCAACACAACCAAATTTGACTAATGAATTTACAAGTAATTATTTTGTAGTTCAATAGGGTGCAAGACGTTACTTGGACGAAGGCAACATGATGATCCGACGATTAACACCATAAGCAAGACCCTAGAAGCACAAGAGAAGACCCAAGATATCAAGCAAACTCCAAGCACGAAGATGGGAACCAAGTCGAACGCAAGATCACGAAGAAACGAGCTCAGCAGAGGTGATAGGACATGGCCCTATGAGGTCTGGACGCGTCCGATCATTTGCTCGGCAACAGCAGGCGTCACAGCAGCGACCGGACGCTGAGCGAGGCAGTGACCAGATGCATGGACTTCACGGTTCATCGTCGCGGCAACAACTCAGTGAGGACCGGACGCAACAGTTGTGGACAACCAGACGCGCTAGGCAGTGGCGTCCGATCATGTCCAGAAAGGTTCCAGAGCGGCGTTAGAGCGACCGGACACTTGCGATCGAGTGAGACCGGACTCGGCCCAGAGTCCGATCAACGCGCGTGCTCTAAAGTTGGGTCCGATCGAGTGAGACCGGCAGGACCGGACGCATCCGATCAGGACGTGATCAGCGTCCGGTCACTAGTAGAAAGTTGGGTCTCGGGTCCAACGGCTAGTTCTCACTTGTGGGGCTATAAATAGACCCTCAACCGGCCATTTGAGGGCGAAGAGCTGAGAAAACATACCAAGGGTATTGATACACCATTATAGTGATCTCCACTTGTATAGTGCTTAGTGATTCATTAGGTGATTAGCGTAGGTGCTTTGAGAAGTGCTTAGGTTAATTAGACTACCGCTTATGCGCTTACTCTAGGTTTAGGCCTAGTGTTTAGTGAGGTTGCACACCTCTTATTACTCAATGCTTGTGCGCACCATTGTTGTACATAGGAGGGGCTTGTAGTCTTGCGAGATCACGCCAATGGCGTTTGTGGTGTGGCCGCCACCGTGTACCAAAGGGACAAGGCCCGTGACGGTTCGACCGGAAGCTTGATAGTGAAGACGGCGGGAAGCGTTCCGGGAGAGGCTTGTCGGAGAGCACACCGGAGACCCACTTGCGCGTGGGAAAGAACCGGGGCTATCCACGGAGTTACCTGACCAGGAGCTTGGCCCTTGAGAGGGGCTCCAACGAGGACTAGGGGGAAGTTTGAGCGCTTCTCGATACCTCGGTATAAATACCGGAGTCGTCAACGGGAGTTTACATCTCTACCTCATCTTTACCTTTCGCATTCACATTGCTACCTTGGTTGATTGCTTTACTTTCCTAGTTAGTTGATAGGATTGAAACCTAGGTTGCATAACTCTTTTGCGATAGAGATAGCAACACACCTAGCAAAACCGTAGTTACACATCTAGATAGATTACTTTTTTGCATAGGTTTTGACTAGGTAAAATTAGAGGCCATAGTTTAGAGTAGATTTTTAAGTTGCCTAATTCACCCTCCTCTTAGGCGTCACGGTCCCTTACATATACATATATATTCCTCAGATTTTTTTCCACAGGGTTTTTCGAGGAATCTCAGCTTACAGCAGCATTGATCTCAAGGAAGATTCGGTCAAGGAGGAGTATTGTGAAACGACGCCAGTACACCAACAGACGTCCTTCTACATATGATCTCATCCGTTCGTACGAATCCATACGGCATCCGTACAAGCTGTTAGGATTAGAGATTAGATTAGTAGTTAATTGTGTTACCGAAGAGGCATGTCTCTTGGTGACGATATGTAACTTCTCCCATCAGTTATGTCCTTTAGACATACCCCTTTACATGTATATATTCTACTAGATCAATGAAACACAATAGTTGTTCTCAAATCTTTGTTCATTTTCGTTAACATTCAACAACGGTACAGGTGTTTGGCTCCCTACATGTTTTTTATACATGCTAGCACTATACTCAAAGCACCAGAAAGTTGCATCCACCAATTCAACCAAAGCAGCCATATCCACGGATGCAGCATACGCAATGCGGCAGCTTGCACCCACAGTGCAGAACGATCATCGATTGGATCACCACTCCTCTCGCCTTCTGTACTGCCCTTGTGAAGCACGACCCAGAGGCCAACGCTGCCGAGGAGAATGCCGCCGCCGCACGGGCTGTCAAGGAGCACTCAGCGCACGGTGGAGAACAAGTGCAAGAACTAGTACCACGCTAGGTCCTCCGTCATGCGGCTAGACGCGTCCATGACCGAAAACATCTTGCCTCCGCCAGCAATGCCCAACACGAAGTGGACCTTCTTGTGCATCGCCAGGATGGCATGGAGCTGCAACATGTGCCGATGCCGCAAGTGCCCGAGGAAGGCTACCGCCGAAGACTGAGTTTTAAGCTATGAAAATCGAAATGCAGGACAACCAAACACTCCTCAAAAAGCATAAGGCTATGCAGAACTGGATATCCAATCCTTGACTTTTATGCAGGCTATCACAATGCGAGCAACTTGATTAGACTCTGTGTCCAGTTAACCAGCGCCTAAGACAATATTAAAATTGACAAGCAATAATACAAGATAGAAAGTACCCAAGGTTCTAGCACTAAGAAATGATTTTCAATATATTTTACTTGTTAACATTGTGGAAGCTGTGAAACTTGGATGCGAGGTGAAACTTAAGTATAAATGTGTGTCCTCCCACTGATACATGAATTGAAACTGTATCTATGTCTAATGAAGCAGTGCATTTAAGTGCTAAATGAGATTATTGATACACAAACCAGATTGAAAACTTTCAAAACGCAAACATAAAATCAGTGTTGAACTCTGCAAAATCGAGGTTATATGCCAAAACAATCTAGCTGTTAAAAGGAGGGTGCTTCTCAAAGTCCAACAGCAAAAGGCCACAACTTTGTACGATGTTTAGTAAATAAAAGTTGGAAAGCTATTACAACAGGGTTCCTTTATTCAATGCGGTGTTTCAGTAATATTTTGTTCACACGCATGTTCCCCTGTAGTTACAAAACTTCCGGCCCAGGTTGTCCCATTATGCCAACATTCAGTTAATGCCTACTAAAAATTATTTGACAACTGTTACTTATTAGCCTACATATTATATGCATTGATGTAGTACCATGAGCACCAGTTTTTCCAAGAGTCCTGAACTAGCATTCATGTAAATGGATGTCATTTTAGAACAAAATTATAGACACATCATTCACTGATGTGTATCTCCAATTGAAATGTGGGAACCATCATTGTAAATAAAATGATATTTCAATTAAACCAAAACTTTTGCCTATTATGGCAAGACAAATGAAAAGGCTTTGTCAATCTATTCATTCCTGAGCAACTGAAATGGAAAACATAAAAAGGTGGATGAACAGAATTACAGCCGCGTGAAAAATTTCAATATTCCACTGCCTCCATTTACCTTTTTGTTTGTCTTGTCATTGGACTTGTTCAGAATTTTTTGCCTCGTGGAAGCTATCTTCTTTGGCATTGATTTCGCACTATGCCGTGTCAATGATGAGCAAATTGCAACCGGTACTTCATTCATCAACAGATTTTGTCCATTGTTGTAATCTTGGCCTATACTCAATAATTTAGTACTATTGATTGTGTGGCTGCTCTCTTGTGACAATGATGAGCAAGGCAAGTATGATTCTTCATTCTGCAGATCAATTAGTAACTCAGTTGGATCCATTTCTTGAACTTGATTGGTGGGCAATTTCCTCTTTTTGAATGGGTTGTTTTCAGGGATGTTTCCTGGCCCTACTTCGTTATCTTCCACTCGAAGGGGCTGCTTCTGCACAAGAAATTTGCCTAGGGCCAGAACACCTTTTTTGCACTTCTTTCCACTAGAAATCTCATTGACTGCAAAAGTTATATGGTAAAATAAAAAATAGTATGATATTTGCTGAGTTTTGTTGAACAGAGAGGGATAATCATCCATTTTTACCTTCCAAAGAAATCAGATTACATTATTGTGCAATAAAGAAAGCATTACAATAGTTTAAACGTGTAAAATAATGTTGAGCTGGTCCAAGAGCACTCACCTATCATATTTTCTTTGCATTCCTCGGATGAAACAATTGTAATACAACTTTGTGTCAAAACTTCCTGAGAACCACACTGATTAGCATCGTCAAATGCCGAGGTATCAATAAACTCAATAGGATTAATGGTTCTGGAGTACTGATCAAACGCTTCCATGGTAACAGGATTCAAACGGCCCTCTGCAATCCCTCTTGCAATTGATGGTGATAATGATCTTTAGATGATTAAGGAATTCGCGCTGGTGACTTCAGAAAATAAATAAACATATGGAAGACTGATTAACATAATTGCTATGTAGGCAGCAAGCAATATCAAGTCACTATATATATTCGGTACTATCAAAGGTGCCTATTTGACCACTGCTTAATATAACGCATAATCAGGAACAGGGTAAGTGCAATTTAGAGAGAGAGAGAGAGAATATGGAACAGTTGGAAGGAAAGGAATAGGCGAATATTCAACAACACTTCAAAGTCACCAATGCAGGTGGCCTCCAGAGTTAGGGAAGATATTGTATAAAGAAAGAGAGCCAGCTTAGAGAGGGGTTAAAGCCCATTTGTTGAATATGGGGTCTTAACTGTGTTTTGTTTGCCCTAGAGGGCTATTTCCCTTGTACATAAAACTTTCTTTTCTCTATCTTAATTGAAGGGCAGAGCTCCTGCCGTTACGTTCAAAAGAGAGAGAGAGAGAGAGCAGCAGACGTGTGAACTCAGTAAGTGGCAACTTGTGTCCTATCTTATTAGAAGTTATGATTTACTCCTAGTTTTTCTATATAGTTGAGCCATTTACTGAAGGAACCATCAATGGATGTATGAAAACTGGTAGCACAGAAACTTTGCCCCTGTATTGATGCTAATACATGCAGATGTGCAGTCAACAACAAACATTTTGTACAGATGCCCCATGCTCATGCAAATTAAATGAAAACTTTAGGATACGGTCCAAGAATATCCAAATCACCATCCAAGTAAGAAATACACTGATCATCCAAAGGTTTCAAATGTTTAAGTGACTTGCTTTTGACATCATATCTGGGACATTGAAACAAAGTGGCTTATCAGTGTCTTTTCACAATGCACAAAGTAACATAAACTCAATCTTACATTCTAGCATGATCAAACACCACAAGAGTTTTCCACAAGGAATCAGCATAATCATCTGGAACAGAGTACCGCTTGTCAAGCTTTAAGTTTGATATGACCTGGCAATGCTTAGATCAGTGAGGCAGATTGTACCAGAGAACAACATTCATCACTGGAGAGTGCAGATTACTAAGCATAAAAGAGACGGTTTAATTATGTAGTGAACCTGTGTAACATATGTAACTGGTGCCAAACTGAAAATCTTAACAGCTATGTTAAAATAAGTATATATATTATGAAATGCAACTGCTGCATATTATTTGTCATTTTTCCACTGAAAATTGGACTCAGATGCTCCAGAAGGTCAAGCAGTATATTGCGACAGTTACAGAAAATATGACTAACACAGTTAAAAGAGTTATAGTTATTTTATGCAGTAACGTTATGTTAGTGTCAATCCAAAGCATTGAAATACAAAATTACACAATAGTTCCACAAACACTCTGTATTGAAATAGATGTATATTTTTTCATGGTGTACTGTGTCATTTCTAGCAAACTAGATGTCTGCTTCAAAATGTTAGTATCTTACTCTGCAAAGTGTTTAGACACTCATAAAAATGGAATATTTGAGTTACTAATGAAGTTTATGCCAAAATATCAACAGAATAAAAATCAGGTTTCACTTTCTGAATAGCACAATAAGAGAGTAATCATTCTTACACGATTTATGTCTTTGTATTTTGAGATGAGAGAATATGCTCTTTTTGTACCAATGCCCGAAATTGAGGGAAGAAAGTCACATCCAGCAAGAACACACATGCCTGTCCAAATGGAATACAAAATGTCAGCAGTGTTAAGAAAGTATATGCCAAAGGGCGCCTAGCTCAAACGGTTAGGTGACCCAGCGGCACTCCTCAGGTCCTGGGTTCGACTCCCCGTGGGAGCGAATTTCAGACTGAGGTTAAAAAAATCCCCTCGCCCGTCTCCATGTGCCAAAGCGCAGTGGAAGGCCCCGGCCCGGTTCTCACAGGGTAACGGTGCCTCCTGCGTCAGGATGGGGGCGGGGTTCGGGGGTTTTCTTGATCTGTGTGAGAAGATCTTCTTCTTAAAGGGAAACCCGGGGGCCGTCATAACCCCCGCAGGTCAAGTTAAGAAAGTATATGTGCAACACAGTTAACACAGCCTTTTATGGCATTCTCTGCAGTTTCCCTATCTTTGAACATGTTTATATTGCAATTTGGGCACCCTTGCCGGTTCGGGCATGCTTGTTCGGCTCTCTTTCCTTGTATGTAAAACTCCCCCTCTTAATTGATAGGCAGAGCTCCTGCCATTTGCGTTCAATTATATTGCAATTTGGGTAATGATAATAGATTAAGAATTCTTTTCTAGCAATAGAATTTTTGTGATAAAGCAAATACTAGTACTTTGGTAGCATAGATCCTGTAGGGGGGAAACTGAAAAGATATTGAAAATGGCTGGCCAAACTGCACAGAAAAAACAATACAACAAAAGATGCAACAACTTATCTAGCAAAACAAGTTGATATCACTGAGTAACAGAACTAACAATAGTGTAACACATCGATAAACCTGTGGTGAAAGAATGCCGACACCTTTGACATAATGACATGCCAAACTGTGAGAAGAAATGCATCTTTAATAGAAGTAGAAAACATTGAAAACATTCAAGTCCATGCTTAGTTCAAGTCTACAAGATATAACCATGAGCATGACTTTACCTGTAAAAAGTTTTTTATCAAAATCCTGGAAGGAAAGACGATCTTTCTCTGTCTTAAGAGTTCTCTCCATTGTGAATTCTTCACCATTCCCAAACCGATCCATTTTAAATATAATCTAAAATTTGATATATGTTACATATAAAATAAGAAGTAAATGAAGAGGATGGGAAGAGAAAGTGATTATCTCACAGCTGGGCAACAATAGGCTATCAAGTCGCTATCTTCTGTAACTACGGCAGATATGCCCCCTTGATCAGCATCAATAGTAGTTAGATATGCCAACTGTGCATCAGCTTCATATGGAGCAACCACAAATTCTACATTTTCTGACCGTAAAATCTGGAGAATAAACATTAGATTTTGCTATACAAGGTAGAAAAATGCCTATACGGAATTACTTTCAATGAAGTACCTGAACTAGATGATAAGCCATCAATGGAGTAATGTGCACAGCTTTCTGCAAATGAACATAGATCAGTGTCACAGATAGTCATATTCACATCCTTCTCCTACTCATCATAATCAAGGATTGCAGCAATCCTCTTTATTCGGACTACGACTTGCATGTTGGTTGCCAAGTGCCCTACTAACTCTATATCATGAGACCAAAGAAAACCGTCAAGCCATGAGATTCTAGCAGCATCGCAAGAATTACACTTTAGTTAGGAAATATCAAACAATAATTATTTCGAATACTAGAAAATCAAGTGACAAGTTTTTGGCGCCACATCCATATAGTACAAAAAAATAGTATTTTTTACAAAGGAAGATTTTATTAATTTTCAAGAGCATTACATCGAGGTGATAAAAAGTCTTGAATTGGAAGTAGAACACACGTGGAGAATACTCTGCAAAATCTGTATATGAGATCCAGTTTGCAGCACTCTTTTGGGAAGATAGGTGGCTGCATGGACAGCGCATTATAGATGTTGCCCCTCATTTGCATTCTTTGGTGGCTAAGAAAACTATCAAGAAACGTACGGTAGCAGAAGCTCTCACTGAACACCTCTCGATTTCAGATGTAAGAGGAGCTTCATTGATTGGAGAACTAGTAGAGTATCTTGATCTTTGGGATCTTCTCACGGGCTTCTCTTTGCAACATGAAATAGAGGACGTTCATATATGGCGCCTATCCCCCTCAGGACAGTCTCAGCAAAATCTGCATATGAACATCTCTTTCAAGGATCAATTCTATTTAGACCTTGGGAACGGATTTGGAAGACCTAGGCCCCCGGAAAATGCAAGCTCTTCTTATGGTTAGTCGAACATGACAGGTGTTGGAGGATGGACGACCCCGACCCCGACCCGCTCATCCCCTTCCTCGTCTCCACGGCGACGAAACCCACCCCGCCCCCTAGATCCGCTCCACCCCCGACCTCCCATGGCTAGCAGGCACCATATCCGCATCCATCACCGCCTGATCTATCCATCCATGGGTCACAGCCCCCCCGCGCACCCTAGGCTCTGCGCCGTCGAAGCAACCAAAGCCAACGTCCAGTCGCCGCCAGCTCCGACCCTGAAGGACAACTGCGAGGTGGGCGCGCCCGGGATGGCGGTGCAGCAGGAGGACAAGGCATCGGTTGTCGTTGAGGACGTCATGGATGGCGAGGATGAGGATGAAGACGATGACGACGGCGACGAGGACGACGAAGCTGATGAAGGTCCAAGCTCCCCGCGCCCTGTCCATGGGGTTCGTGGCCACGTGTTGCCATCCCCTCGCGTGCCCGCGGCTCCGGGACGCCCCAAACCCGGCCCCAGCCTGCCAAAGGCCGCCCCCACCTCCACCGTGCAGGCCGCAGGCTCAGGCAGGACCTCGCCGCCCGCGGATGGATCTGGCGCGGGTGGTTCCTCGTCCGCCGGCAACGGCGCAGCGACGAGTCAGCCGCTGCCTTCCTCGCCTCCCTCAACGCCACCTGCCTGCTCCTTCGTGACATGCATGCCGGATGCCACACCTACACCGCTAGCCACCTCCCCCACCAGCGCCGAGTTGTCCTCCTCCTCACTCTCCCCTGACGCCGCTCCATTTTTCCCCTACTCCGCCGGCAGGTTGAAGAGCATGCGTTGGGAAGATGTTTCGTTCTCCCTCTCTGATGGCTCTGACGTCGAGCGCTCCCCCTCCGCCGGCATGTACCTGGCGGCTACTCGGCGGGCCCCCTCGGCCTCCCCCGTCGAGGTGTGTCCTCCGGGCGCAGCTCAAGCACAAGACGCGGCTGCCGGGACGACGCAAGCCGCAGGCGCTAGCAAGGCGCCGAGACGGCGGCGGCGGTGTCTCCGTGGCCAGAGGGAACCAGCTGCAAAGCACGTGGAGAACCAGGTTGCCAGCGAGCGGGTGCCGGTGCTCCAGCGCCTGGGGCAGAGGCGGTGCAGGCCACCTAAGCGTCGCCGAGCATGGCCACAGCTCAAGGACGCTGGTGGCGAAGCCTGGGTCGCGACTGATGGCACTCACTTGCCAGACCATCAGAGGTTGGGCCCATGGGTTCCGACCGGAAACCACCGCCGCATCTCCGCCCCGGACGTGGACGGCTAGCGCAAGGTCCTGCCGGCAAACGCTGGCGGTGGCGGGACCGAACCCAACACGCCCACGAGTCGGCGACCTTCAAGGCGCATTCCACCAGATATACACGGCAAGTGCTTCAATTGCCTCTCTTCTACACATCGAGTGGCAACCTACGAGCTGCCCCAACGTTGTCTGCGCTGCAAGGGTCTTCGACACATTGCGCGCCACTGCAAGCAGCCATGGCACGCGGGCTTTGGGAGGTCGGGCATGCCGGCGCTATGGGTCGCCCGCCACGTCCGGTTCGTGACGCCGACAACCCCGTTGATGCTCGGCCTGTGGACGATGGTGGTTCGCGTGGCGCTGGTGGGACCATGCTGGACAGCGCCGTTCCTGCCAACAGCGAGCAGCGACGCCGACGACGAAGGCGTCTCGGGCGGTCGGCAGGGGCTGCTCCGTTAGCACCAGGAGAAACCTCAGTCGCCGATGCTTCCTGTTTCCCCGAGCCGGACCACTCCTCCAACGATGCCACAGCTGACCGTGGCGAGCAGGCCAACGGGACGCCCCTTCTTGGGGTCGACCCGTTGACGCTGGCCATGTGGCCTCACGACTTACTCCCTGTTCGTGACTTCACGGACGACCCGATGGTGGAGGAGTTTGCTGCTTCTCTCGCCGCCAGTCGGATCGTCACGTGTCCTCCACTTGAGCACCTGGCTTCAACTCCGATGGCCACCCAGCTAGAGTTTGCGGCCAAGGCGATGGTCACCTGCGTCTGCAGCTGTGGGCAGCAAACGTTGTCCCAGCTTGCGCCTCCGCAACCCACTCAATGGGTTGTGGATTCGCCGCCGGCGTCACCTCAGCCTCGCCGCTCGCCATCATCGCCTGACTTGGCCCCGCGTCGCTCCCCCCATGGTCGGAAGCGGCCGCGGACGCCTGTGCCGGATTCGGAGGCTATGGAGCTTGAGTTGTTGAGGCCCAACCAAGGGTCATCGACTGACGACGAAGGCCACAACGCTCAACCTCCATCGACCGATGCGTATGCATCCCTGTTGACACAATTGGAGGCGTGGGTATGCATCCCGCTCGAGACCCCGTTGATCCACAAGCCGAGGCTGAGGAGGTCCAGGACACCTTCAACGATGATGTCGGTGTGTCGAAGTGGGAGGCTTGCTGCTAAGACCAAGGCCTCCAACCCAACTGTCTAGAAACAAAATGTGCTGAAGCAAAAGCTAGGGATCGCAAGCATGGTGCAGAGTCCGGAGCCTGCGGCTTTGGACAGTATCAAGGCTTTCTTCGCTGCACCGTTGTCGCCCTCCAAACAGGAGGCCCTTCAGGCGCTCTTCGCTCCAGATTTTGATCCGATGGCCATGGAACTGAACCTCACTGGCTTCGAGCACGACGCTTTTTAGCCGCTGAGTCCAGGGCCTGTTGTGTTTGTCCCTATGCTTCATGCTCTTCACGCTGCGTAGTTTCTTTTCTTTTGTAATCACAACTATGTGAGCTCCGTCAGTTGTTTGGTTCGATAACCTCAAATTACCGTCCCAGCTTTAATTTGTAAAACTCTTCTTCTGCTTAATGAATACCGTGCCGATGGCATGTTTGAGAAAAAAAAAACATGACAGGTGTTGGACGGCTGATCGTCTTGCCCGTCGAGGTCTGCCCTGTCCGAAACGTTGTCCTTTATGAGATCAGGAGCAAGAGACAATTAACCATCTTCTAGTATCCTGTCCCTTTGCAAGGCAATACTGGTATTCCCTGCTAGGTCAGGTTGGGCTGCAGCAATTCGCTCCTCAGGCAACTGATATGGTGTTCGATGATTGGTGGGACAGATTGTGGCATGCTGCTCCGGAACAGCAAAAGAAAGGCCTCAATTCTCTGGTTGTTCTAGGTGCTTGGGTTCTTTGGACTCAACGCAATTCGTGTGTTTTTGACGGAGCTGCTCCTAGCATTGCATGGGCTCTTAATGTTAGCAGCGAGGAACGGCGTCTTTGGGAGATAGCAGGCGCACGAAGCCTCTCTTCCTTGACTACCCCGGCACTTTTGCGGTTTTGCCTTAGAGTGGCCTAGTTGTTGGTTTTGTGGTCGTCTTTTTATATTTAGGAGGCGAAAATGTAATCTAAAACTCTAGTTTGGTGTGTGTAGAGTGTGGGTGGGTGTTTGGGTTCTTGTCCCGTATTTTCTTCTTAATATAATGAAGTGCAGCTCTCCTGCGTTTTCGAGAAAAAAAAGATACAGTTTGCAGGTTCTGTTGCTCCCTTCTGTTAGTACAATCCAGAAATCAACATCTAAAACTACTGCAGGTTCTTGCTCAGGTAATGATGTAACACAATATGATATCAGCCAACCATGGACACAGTTCTTATTGTGTGGAGATGCTATTTTTTGTACTGTATTTAAGTATTAAAGGTTTTTATGCAGTTCCCAATTACAGGCAGTGGCGAACCCAGGATCTTAAAGTTGGGTAAGCAAAGACCAAAGAGGATTTGAGATTTTACCACTGAATTTGATTAACAAACAAACTGAATCGAGAATTCAAGAAAACCAGGCGTGTTATTAGAAAGCATGGTGCATGGCAATGCCCAAATGAAAATTAGAAGTGAATGTAGGACCAACTTTTTAGCACCTAATGTATGTATTTATCAAAATGACAGCAAACATCTTAATAAGTGAAAAGATTGCAGAGATTTTCTGCTGTGGCAAAAACTGCAAGAAAGAAAAGTAGATGGATACCCGGAAAAAGTCGATGGCAGCAGCTGTATTTCCTTGCTCAAGCTTTTCTTTCGCCATGTTTAAACTGAGTTCCCTCTTCCTGAATGAAAATAACCATAAGACTTTAATGTAAGTGCTTAAAGCTTAAGTATTACGAATTGCATATTATCCTTGTTATAGTTGCATCTTAAGAAACTGCCAAAAAATTCTAACAGCAGTGCAATCTTGAACAACTATCCAATTGCTGATGAACTATGACCATATGCACAGCGATAATTGGTAGTGAAGAAATATTAGCTTCAGTATGGCCATAAAACAAGACTGAAAATCCAAGACCTCATACATACTGACAAATAGAAATGCCTTATGTATGCTAAAAAAACTAAATAATCCCAAAATCATCACAAATCAGTACCAATCATGGTCATGGAACATAAATAATGATTCAAATCACAGATCTACAAACACAAACGAAGCTTTAAACTGTGATTTCAGTACAAATGTCATCACAACTCGAATCACCGTACCTCTGCCGCTCGTTATCAGTGGCCGCCTTGCAAGGCATGCTGCCCCCGTCAAAGACGACGACGGGAATAACCTTGTAATGCCGCAGGAGGTTGATGTGGTGCATGAAGTAGCTGATGTATCGCCTGGCTGCGGCGCTTTTAGGGTCCATACATAACTCCATACTGCAAGAATAGGCTGCAATGCCATAAACAGAACAGAAGAAAAAAAAAGTTAAGAAATCTGCCCAGGAATCCCTATCAATCATATTCAATATACTGCGGCAATACAATGGAATCGAACCTCCTTTGTGAAGCCAGGAGTACGCATCGATGCCGACCTACCGACACAACACAAAGTGCCAAGAAATCAAGAAAGATGAAAAGGTAAGGGGAACTGCAGGGTGAAAGACGAAATGGGGATCTATTTACCCGTTTGCCGGCGTACTTCTTGATGTGCACAGGCTTGATGAACGGCTTCAGGAAGCGGAGAAGGTTGGGGATCCCCATCAGTTTGCGCAAACAATCACAAGCCAACTGATTTCTATTGGTTCCTGATTTCCTGGAAGGATTGGATTGGGATTTCGAAGGACTGGGGAGAAGCGGCGAAGTGGCGGGGAGGAAGAAATGGGGGATGTTGAAGGAGACGAGGACTGTCTAGTCACTGACAGGTATAGCGGTAGTGTGGGTGCCACATGCGCGAAGTGGCGGGGAGGAAGAAATGGGGATCGAACCTCGCTTTGTTTCGCGCGCACCGAATTAGTTTCCCGCGCTTTCGCACGCACAAACAAGGAAAACTAAACTAGCTTTAGTAAAAGAGGGCTAATAACTAGGTTAATTTTTAGGAAAGATCTTAACTAGTTATTGTTTATTAGCTAAACACAGTTATTAGTAGCTTTCAGTCTCTGTGGAAATTTTATCAGAATTCATTTGTATTTAATAAGCTATCACATAAGTATTTTTAACGATGTGGCAATGTTTTTAATAAGAAAGAGAAAAGGTGATTTTCATGAGAATAAAAATCTCTCGACACGATTACCAACTCTCTTTGAGTCATACAATTAAATATCTATGAAACCATAAAATAATTTTTTTCATTGAGAGTGGTTGTTTCATCCATGTTTCATTTTATTCTATATGACATGACAGATATGGAAACAACATCATAAAACTCTTCACTAAGACTGACCTAAGGTTATAATTTATTTTAAAAAATATATATATGAAACTATTAACCATGAATTTAATGAGAAATCGTTTTATCGATCATTACATGCACAAACACACATAGAGCACAATATGAAGACAAAAATAAGAAAGAACAGACTCTTTATTTCTTTCTTATATTTGGAGTACAAAGCACAAAACCGTTATATCTGGAGTACAAAACATTAGGGATAGATTCAACAAATGCCTAATCTTTGATGAGATCTAAGCTGAAAAAAAATATTCATTATCTAAAAACAAACCCATGTCAACTAATCGAGGCCTAAGATGAGTTTTAGCCGAGGTAGCGTTCATTATTTTTATCATAAAGTATTATAAGTCTGAATAAAGCTACTTCCTCCCTTCAAAATTGCAAGTTGTTTTAGCTCTGTTCTAAATAAAACTTCTCTATTTTTACCATATTTATGCAAAAATATATAAACATCTACAACATCGTACAAGATTTATTGGATATATACACCATGAAATATATTTTGATAGTGTATTTTATTCGATGATGTAGTAGATGCGAATTTATATTTTTATAAATTTGGTAAAGTTAGACAAAATTAATTTAGGACAAAACTAAAATGATTTAAAATTTGAAAAATAGAGAGCAGTATATAATTTAACTTCACTGAATTTTTCAAATTCAATAAAAAAATGAAGTTTTTTAATGGGAAAGTGAAGATTTAAGAGAAAGTTTAAGAGGGTTTGATGAATATTTAACAAAAAGTTTATAATTTATGAAAACTTGACAAAAGATTTGAAATCTAGTGTTTTTTCAATTTTACACGCATTCATGGATTTGTTTGTCTTTGAATGACTATCTCTTGTAACTTCAATTTTTTATCCATCTTCATCGACTTTTTCTCTAGAGTTTTAGAGGTGGATTTCGTGCAACATCAACATTGATCATGTTGCAAGATCATGTTTGCTTGTGTACGGCTATGGAGACAGAGGCCACATGTAGAGTAAAATGGACGGCTTAGAGCAACTCCAAGAGCTAATGGAAATCTAGCTCTCTAAACTGGCACAATATAGACTCTTAAAATAGATACGGTCCGCAACAGGCTCTCTAAATCAGACTCTTTATTATTTTTAAAGTCACCACGTCATCACTAATTCAATCAATTTTGGTTGGATCTGTCACTTTTTTTAGGCTTCAAAATGTGTGTCGGGCCTGAAAGCAACACGACAAGTCATTTGTGTTGCATTCTTCGTCACCAGATGTCTAGATGTGGATGATACGAGCAAGGAGCGATCACCTGTGCCGCGTTTGATTGCTTTTGATTGGGCACATGAATTAATGATGGACGGTGCAGCAAAATTTAATTGTCCCTGTCAGCGGAGTGGAGGTATAGGTGAAGAGAAAAAAGGAGGCCACGAGGGCATGACGAATGAACGGGATAGCCAGCTCCATATTTTTACAGATGTTATCTGTTGGAGCATCTTTTTTTCTCAATTTTGATGATACCAAGGTGGGATACCATGTCTCTTGAAGTTGCTCTAGGCAAGACAAATTAATTCTCACCAGGAAGCAATTAAACAGCTCCCAAGTCCGCCGTCCAACTTGGGCAGCCCAACATTTCAACGACAAAACAGGTAACGATAGCTATCTCGGCCCCCAAGTCCACAAGACTTTTGGTGCAATCCGCGTGAAGCCAAGCAAAATATTTCAGACTTGTGACAGGTCATCGATCTGTATGAGAATTTTCAGTATCCAACTCTCCTCTTCTGGAATACTCCTATATTGGGTTCGTCACCTTGTTTTTGACACTCAAAAAAATCCAAGTATTTGTAGACACTGGGCTTGGATGACCTCATCAAGCGCATATTCTGCTCAGCTTGGTCCGAGTGCATCGCCCGATTGATATCTGACTGTTGAGCCTATCGCCGACCGACTCATGCCACTAGCCTTTGTCACCGATTGATCCGAGTCTCCAACAGCTCAGGTTGCCGACTAGTTCGACTTGCTCATTGGCTCTAGTGCATTCTTGAATAACCAGAAGTTAACTGCAAGCTGATAGATGTGCACGATGCTCTTATGGCAGAAACAGTTGCCTGTTGGAAGGCGATCGAAGCAGCGGTGGCGCACAGGATTCCCATAGTTCAGTTGGAAACGGACTCAACGATCCTTCAGAGAAAAGTCCTTACTGACGAAATGGATCAAGCTCAGGCCGGGGTCCTGTTCCACGATATTCGTTCGCTGATTTGGGGAAATTTTCTACATTTTGATTGTTTTCATATTTCCAGAGTCTGTAACTTGTCTGCGTACCAGACAGCTAGTTTAGTCTCGAATTGGATTATAGGGACGTCGGAGGTCTTGGAGTACCCGGTCCCTGTCTTTGTACAAACTTTGGTGGCTCACACTTCTGTTGAGCCTTCGATCAATTAAAAGGCCCTTGAGCCCAGTTTCAAAAAAAAAAAAAAAAAAAAGCTGACTCGTCCCGTGTTTCGTACAATATGAATTGCTCCGCCGTTGACGTAAATTTAGCATTACCGAAAGTTAAATTAGTAGACGACATGTTCTTTCCTTTGTTCCAAACTATATATTATCATAGTTTTATTCTAATTAAAACACTTTCACTTCAACTAAGTTTTAAGAAAAAACATATTAACATCTACTAATCTAGATAAATGCACTGTCAAAGACATATTTTGTAAAGAATTTAATAAATGTTGGTGTAACTTTTATAAAATTAGTCAAAAATTAAAGAATCTTTGTGGGTGACAAAACTAAAAGGTCCTGTAATTTTATAATGGGGAATACATGTATTAGGTGAAAGCTAAAGAATAATCGAGTGATTTCGAAGGGGCTAAACACTCTGTTTTCCTTTGAACTATATAGATGGCATTAGCTTATTTTTTTACGGGCTCCTTCAGGCTGTGTTTGGATCAAAGGATTTTCGTAGGAAAAGTGGAGGAAACAAAAACAGAGGAAAGGAAGATGAGAAGAACGTTTGGAACAAAGAAAAACTTCAATTCCTTTCCTCCGGAATACTGTACCATCTTCAAACTTTCACAGGAAAAGAAACATCTATCTAGACATCTGGTTTTCTCTTCCTGTGTGGAAGTCCAAGGCAGCTGCGCACTACAATTCCTATGTTATAAATTCCTGTGTTTCAAACAGCCTAAATTTTTTTGTTCCTGTGTTTTGAAATCCCGTAGTTTTTCACTTTTCATCATACTTTATTCATGTGTTTTTTCTATTCCTGTGTTTTGGATTCCTTCGTTGCAAACAGGCCCTGAAGGATTACAGTTTGGAGTTTAGGGATTTGGGATTCGCACTAGCCTACCAAGTCTTCTCACGGTTAGAGGGAAGGACGCCGGTAGGAGGGGTGGAGGAGGTCAAGTGATCTTGTGGAGATGTTGACATGGCGGCAGGTAGCCCTGGAGACAGGAAGAAAATTAGATGGTGGCTTTGCGTGCTTCATGTAGCTAGGGAAGATGTCAAGATGAGATATTGGCTTGCGTGCTTCATGTAGGTTGTCGTGATCATTTGATTTATTTGTTGGCAGTAAATCCACCACCAATATATAGCTGTTGGCAGTAACACAATTTTTGACAAGTAAACAGGTCAGTCAGCATAGGGAAGATGTCAAGATGAGATATTGGCTTGCGTGCTTCATGTAGGTTGTCGTGATCATTTGATTTATTTGTTGGCAGTAAATCCACCACCAATATATAGCTGTTGGCAGTAACACAATTTTTGACAAGTAAACACGTCAGTCAGCATGTTCGTTTGGTTGTGGGCATCGAACCATCACGATCAAAATTTTCAACCGAACATTATTTTTTCTTTCACACAAACCACCAAAGAAGATTACTTCACTTCAAGCAAACCATATAACAGTATTACATAGCATAATATAGCTGTCACCATATGAACAGCTTAAATTCAATGGAAACTTGACGAGGTTTTGCGTATAGCGTTTAGCAGAAGCTTCTCGTTACTGTCAATCCGCGTCGAAGTCGTACTTATCACTAACAGAAATGCTATACAACACATATGTGTTTTAGCAAAAAAAAAAAACACATGAATTTTTTGTATCTCTCTCTCTTTCGCTTCCCTCTCTCCTTCCTCCTCTCTCTCGCTCTCTCTTTCTCGCTTCGTTGACCGAGCGGATGGGAATGAGGACGACGACGACCGACACGTTCGCGATGGCATTTAATGCCGTGCCCCAGGCCACATCACACGAACCAGTGGGGAGGCACCACCTCACCCTGTGGGCCCCACGTGTCACTGACTCTGTCTTTTTGTCATTCTATAGAAAAAAATTGTGATTTGTGATATGTAATCTGTGATGTGTGATCTATGCAGGCTGAAGAGGTAGAAGAAGCGTGGAAGCTGTTGGATCTTAATCCTATGATTTAAAAAAATTATGTATTAAAACTGCATAAAACACATGGTCGTCGGACAGAGACGCACTCTAACACTAAACAAGCATTTCATTTTCCACCGGCCGGCCTGGCCGGACGTTATTACCGAAAGAAACAAACAAACAGAACAGCCTCGCCGCTGTTACCCATCGTATCTTTCCTCGAGTGTTTGATTCGTTTGCGATCGAGGACGACGGGCATGCATGGCGACGACGACAGCAGCCACCGGCACGGTGGTGCTGGTAGACGCGGCGCTGGCTCCGTACGAGCACCCTGACCTCCGGTGGCTGGTACGGAAGCATGTCCTGGCCGTCCTCCAGGACTTCCCCACCCTGTCGCCGTCCGTCGACACCTACACCAGCGACAGCGGCGCGTCCACCGTGCTGCTCAACGCGCGGGGCCTCCTCACCGTCTCCTCCGCCCTGCCGCCGGTGCTCCTCACGCTATGGCTTCCCCGGGAGTACCCGTACCTGCCGCCGCTCGCCTACGTCTTCCCCGCCGCGCCGTCGTCGGCTTCGCTTTCGCTCGCCCGCGACCACCCCTTCGTCGACCACCGCACCGGCCGCGTCCGCCGCACGCTGCCCTACCTCGAGGACTGGGCCGTGCCGCGCTTCAGCCTCGCCGGACTCGTGCGGAGCCTTGTCGGGGCCTTGCGGATGTGCCACCCGCTGACACCCCGCTTCGGCTCCGTCGTCGTCCACGCCACGACCACGACGCCGGTGGAGGAGGAGCAGGAGCGCATGCGCACGGCGCTGCTCGACGAGCTTGTCTCGAGGCTGGGCAGGGACACATCCGCCTTCCGCGGCCACGTGGACGAGGACATACACGCCATGTACTCCATTCAAGGCAGCCTCCGAGAGCGGGCCGACGCCATGGACCGCGCCGTCCGCGACCTCGAAGACGAGAGGATGCGGCTGGAGCGCGCCGTGACGGCCAGCCTTAGCCACCGCGGCAAGCTGCTGGCCTGGCTGCACAAGACAAGCAGCCGCGTGCCCGACGCGGGAGCGGCACCGCCTCTGGCACCGCACGCGGCGGCGGGCGACGCGCCGCGGTGGCTCGAGAGCAAGGCGTCGGAGCTCGCCGTCGACGACACCGTGGACGCCCTTGGCCACGCCCTGGAGGACGGCGACCTCATCAGCCTCCAGGAGTACATCAAGCGTGTCAAGGTGCTTGCTCGGGAGCAATTTTTCCATTGCCATGCAGCATCCACCTCGATGAGCAGCAAGGTCACCAAATAATCAGTTGCATTAGTTATGATTTTCTCGATGAAATGTTGTGCTAGTTTAGTATCGTTCTTCACTTCATTGATTGTTTTGTTAGAGACTGTATATTCAACAGATACGGCCGCGCGCGTTTCCGCGGTATTTCTCGTTTGGTGGTTGTTCCCGTGTTCAGATCAGCTTGTGTTCGATCAGTGATTTCAAGTTTCCTGGGGAAAGCTACAGCTGATGAATTCTGAGCTCTACTTAACTCTGAAATAGTCCGATACGCAACCTTCATCACTGTACAAATTGTCAATCCAGTTGCTAAAATTCAGCAGCACCATGAAAATCTGCTACGTACATATGTTAGCGCCGTGAAACTCTGAAAAGGTGTACGATTGGTACGACAAACTTGCTACTAGTGATTGTGAGTTCTCTTCTTCATCACGTTGATCCGCTTATTCTCAACTAATTAACAGAACGCAGCGAAGGAACGTCAACACTAACTGTCTTGTTGTGCATGCAGCTAGCTGATCAGGGGTAGAATTTTGAGATTTCGGGGCCGTTGGGTCCTCTGGATTCTCCTCACCTCACCTTCCTTAGCTTAGAAATGGAAAGAGATAGTCGTTGGTTAAGAGACTAGCTTGTCTTGGAATTATAATGACAAGGAAATACCTTGTTGCTATGGGAGAGCCAATTTGGCTACCTCTAAGGCTGTCTCCAATAACACAACACAAACGCAAAAAAAGGTTGCTCACAATGTTTTAGGTACCAAAAAACATGCTCCAACAGAAGACCCAAACAGAGGACGCATTTTGCATCCGAGGCCAGCCAGAACGCAGAAAAGCATCGTCGAGGAGAGACGACGCAAAAATCTTGCGCCCGTAGTGGTGGGCCCGCGGACGAGATGACGGCGAGGACCGCGGCGGGGCGCTACCGGCTCGGCGAGGAGCTGCAGCGCCCCAGGACGTCCCCATGCCGCATCCCTCGCCGCCGGACGCTGCGAGAGGATGCCACCTGGCTAGATCCCGTGGGGGAACGAACCGATCCGGCCATGGAAGCCCTGGATCCGGTTTTGGAGGCCCCAGATCGACCCAGCAAAGAACGGCGACAAGCACAGACCGACGCTCGACCCCAGCATCGACAAAATAAGGAGAGGAGGAGCAAGGGAGAGGCCACACCGTCGAGTTGGGGCGCGCTCGCCCCTAGGGTGCCGCCGCGCCAGGGGAGGGGGCGCTCGCCCTAGCGCCACCGGCCGACCCCGCCACCGGGGGGAGGGGTGCTCGCATCGAGGTCAGATTGGGGGAGGCTGAGGAAGCGACAAGAAGCGTCGGGAAGAGAAGAGGACGACGGTTTTTGTTTGAAGTGGACGAGGGTACGGGAAATTTTGGGTTCGCTGTTGGAGAAAGGAAATTTAGGGTGGGTGACCTAGTGACTGTTCGTGACCCAATCCTTAGAATGGGTCTTGTGTTTGTGTTTGGGCTGTTGGAGATAGTCTAACTAGCAAGGTAAGGCTAGCCCGCCAGCAAGGCATGACCATCCTTGTCTCAAAACTAAATAGGCCCACTGGCCCAACCTACTAGGCAGGCATGTAAGTGTGACATCTCACGGTGGCCCGTCTCGCTACGGCAAAAGTCGCTACCTTGCTTGCTGGCATATGCGTAGATAAGGACTGAATGGTCTAAGAGATAGGTGAACTGAACCTTCAAAAATTAAATCAACAATCTTATCCTATGAAAAATTTAAGCCCCTTTGCATGCACCTATGTTCTTGTATAAAAGTAATCTTAGAAGTCCTTACAACCATCGCACACTACTACAAAAAACTGTTCGTAACAACAGGATAATTTTTTTTGTAGGGGCGGCTGGTGATGAAGCCGCCCCTATAGTGGGCGTGCTCGGGACCCACGAGACCAGCCGCCCCTACAAATGGCACAGTAGGGGCGGCTGGTGATACGAGCCGCCCCTACAAATAGGTCAATTTATAGAGGCGGCTCACTCACTAGCCACCTCCGGTGTTGCGATTTGTAGGGGCGGCTCAATCACCAGCTGCCCCTACAAATGCACGTACAAAAGGTGCTGCAACCCCCTTCTTCCTCATCGGATCACTCATTCTTACTCGAGAAAAAATGTTTGGGAGGCCTTGGGCACCTTTCAAAAATTGCTCTACTAAGGGGAGAAGGTTTTGATCTCAAATCCTTTGGTGGAGAGGTTATAGAAGGTAAGAAAATACTATTCCACACATTTTTTTAAGTTTTAATGGTTGGTTAGTGAGTAATTAGAATTTTACTTTTCTCTCTCTTCTCTAGTGCTTGAGCTACTTATGAAGCAAATTAGACCCAACTTTTAAATGTACTAGGGTAAATTAGGTAGGGGAACAAGATCATACCCTTATTTGGTCCATGTTTCTTGATTTTAGTGAACAATTAGTTAGTTTTATGGATATTTCATGTGCATGTAGATCTAGATCTAGATCTAGGGTTTGGTTTCTTTATTAATTTCGTTTTTGTAAATTTATATTTGATGAAATTGGACTAGGGTTTGCATGAAAGATATTGGGTAAAATATAATTGTTGCTAATTGTTGTCTTTGAAATTGTTTATTGTAATTAACAAATTATATTTTAATTATTTATGGATAAATAGGCCATTAATTAATTTTTCTCTACCATGTTGTGTTTGTATGTTTTATGTAATTATATTTGATTTATATTCATATATATATCTGAAGTATATACAATTATTCTCAAGTGATTATTAATTTGATTCATTTTTATATATATCTGAATAAGTAGTCCTTTAATATTTGTTTTGTTGTTGTTGTAAAAGATGGAGCACAGGAACTCTTGGATGTATGGTTCGTTAAGGTTCAAGGCAGGTTTCCATGAAGAGGTGGATAAATTTATTGAAGTCGCAGAGAAGCATGCAACGACGTTGACAGAGAATAAGGATACAATTATTTGTCCCTGTAAAGATTGTAAGAACCGTATGGCATGAACAAATGTGACTATCATCAGATCACATTTGATTATGCGAGGATTTATTGAGGACTACACAGTATGGATTCATCATGGTGAAACGATTATTGTTAACGACGAGGATGAGGAGGAATACGACGACGAAACCCTAGAATCCCTATCTCAATATTCAACAGAGCTTGATGCACAAATAGATCCCGAGTTTGACAATGAACAAGGTGGTGATGCTGGTGGTTGGGATGGTAACGACGAAGGTGGTGCCAATAATGATGGTGGAGCACGTGTCGGGGATGAATATGATTTGGAGGACATGATTCGAGCCCTTGGACCAGAGATTTTACTAAAGAGCCTAAAAGGTCTAGAAAATTTTGAAAGGGTGAAAAAAGCATCGAAAGAGGCTGTGTATGGTGTTGAAAAGGGTTGTCCGACACACTGGATATTGCTACATTTTGTGCTTGTGCTACTCATCCCGAAGGCTAAGTACGGCTGGTCAGACTATAGTTTCAATGATCTATTGCGTCTCCTGTCATGGGTGCTACCACAACCAAACTCAGTTCCTGCCAACACATACCAAGCGAAGAAGGTCATAAGTCCATTGACAATGGGGGTTGAAAAAAATCCATGCATGCCCCAACCACTGTATCCTTTTTTGTGGCGAAACGTTTAAGTCACTGGATAAATGTCCCCGGTGTGGGACCAGCTGGTACAAGAACAATGACCTTTATGGTGGGGACAAAGCCTCCACGGGGAAAAAGAGGAATAAGAAGGGTACGAAAAAGGTAGTACAAGAATCTCAGACCTAGAGGACACTCCATTAGGCAACGATGCAAAGCAGAGAAGAATTCCTGCCTTGGTAATAAGAAGACGTATCTTCCTAAACCCTAAAGAAGCCGCACTCATGACATGGTGGGATGATGAGCACAAGGTGGATGATGATAAGATTGCACACCCGGCTGATTGTAGTAAGTGGCAAAGGATCGATGAGAAGCACAAAGAATTCAACGATGACCCAAGAATTGTACGGTTTGGCTTGAGCACCGATGGAATGAATCCCTTCAATGAGAGGATGAGCGACCACAACACTTGGCCAGTGATCTTGACCATGTACAACATCCCAACATGGTTGTGTTAGAAGAGAAAGTACCTGTTTACACCAAAATTTGAAAGAAGAGTCGTAGGAACTCGAAAGCTCCTAAGATCATGTCATCAAGGAATCAATTGCATGTAGATCGGAACCAGCTGATTCGAATGCAGCACTTGAATCGGCTTTCTTTAGGTAGCACCAGCAGATAATGACAAAGGCTACGATCGGCGCTGGGACAAAGCATGTTGGACTCTACAAAAAGGGAAAGATTAGAGTCAAAGTTATCTTAAATTAGGAATATTTTCTCTTAGGGCCAAAGATTGTGATGAGTCGTGCTTAGATAGGAGTCATACGTAGGTCCCGGGTATAAATATCAAACCCCGGCTATTGTATAGGACACACAATCAATCAAATATAAGTTACTTTTTTTTGCTCCGGCCACCCCTTAGAAGTAGGAGTAGAGTAGATCTCGACGAGTTCTTCAGTGAGTACGGCTGCATCGATCCAGTCGACCTCCACTGCTTGTCTGTAAGTACCGTCATGGCTTATACTTCCGTTCGTATGGCTGCATCGATCCGGTCGACCTCCACTATGACTCTGGTATAAGCTAGTTATCGACTCTTGTTTAGTTCAAGTACGGCTGCATCGACCCGGTCGACCTCCACTGCTTGAACTAGATCAAGGTCAAGTTATCGGCTCTATCTAAGGGTGGCGTTCCTTCGGATAGATTCATTAAGTTACCAATATTGCTTATTACTTCCATTATTTATTTAATTACAGCAATATCACTTCGCCCGTTTGGGATTGATCTAGATCGGCCTTATATCTTTTTTAACCCACCGTTTGTTAATCTAAATTTGATCTATTCCGTACTTTAAACGATGAGTTATGTTTTATCGACTGTTTTATATCAATCTTGATCGTGCATAGCGTGTGGTTAAGGCATGTCTGATCTTGAGTAGATCTATTGGCTAGC